TTCCACTTAGCTGAAAAATATTTTCAGCTCAGTAACTGCAGCAAATGAGTTTTGCTAACTGTTCTAACGCCTCATTTTTATAAGTGTAAATTGAAGCTCAGCGTAGACGACTAGCAGGGCGATAATTGCAGTGAGTATACAGTGCATTGCACCAAATTTTTTCTCTTAAATAAATTTTAATCCACAGGTTTTTTAAAAGAAACTGCACAGTCGCCATCGTACTAGACTGAGACCTTTGTTCAATAAGTTTATTAGTCTAGTCTCTTCGTTTTTGAAGACATTCGAAAAACCAAAAAGTTATTGCTGGAAGAGCGCTTTTTTTAATAAAGTAACGGTATGACAGTAACTGAGCTAAGAATGGCAAAATTTAGTTCTGCAAATTCAAAATGATTATGTCGCTTGATTCTTCCCTTTTCAGGGGCACTCGTCTAGAGTGAGTTGCTTGCAGAGCTTCTCTAGTCTTCAGAGTACAGTTCTCTATAGCTTTTTGATATCAAATGTGAGTCTTTTTTTTTCCTTAAAAGATCATTTGTGTCTTTTGTTGCCTAAAAAAAGTTATCTACTCTCTCTTTATACAGGCAGAGATGACATATTACAGTAATCATGCTTATCACTTGCCTCACTCGAGTGTGTTTGATTTGGGGATAATGTAGCTGAATGAAGCAGGTAGGAATGCATAGGAAGGGTTAGAAACGCATCTCAAAGTTTCACATGTCTTTGGTTGCGTTCCTGAGCACGCTTGGATCTCTCAGTTAATGATAGCGAAAATCTGAATTTTCGTGAAGTAAGGGTTCTATTTAGCGCTGCTTCTAAGCAACGACATTTAATTCACAAACATTTGCTTTAATTTCAATTTTTTTGTATTCTACCAACCAATGTCTTTTTTCTTTATTCTTCTTGGAGCATTTAGAAGCAACGTCGTTTTTACCACGTAATACTTCTTTGACTGCGGGGAAAGAGGAAAGAAATTTTTCTAGTTTCTTGATTTTTGTAATTCCTCGTTGACTTCGTTGTCAGAATCATAATAACTGGTTGTAAATCTAGTTTAATTTGATTTGGTTTCAACAACACATGCGATTATCGGAAATTTTGTAACTGTAGGAAAACTGTTAAGAATACAGAATGATAAGCAAAATAATAAATCTTTCAAAAATATGGCAAAGTCGTGCGTTGAAAAAGGGGTTTACATAACATTTTTTGAGTGTCATGTAGCGCTTGGCAATACTGCTTATGCTTCTTCCGCTTTGTAGCCACTAAACTGCTCTGTAATAAGAGCAGCCGAGCTGTTTCTGATAAATTTTAAATTAGTTAGTACATGTAATTGGAAATGGTGCTGCCGAATTGGTAGCACTAAATGGTCTTTTTTTTTCGATCAGTATAGTGCTTTAGTTTGTCATGAAGATATTCTGATTTGGCGAAAGACGCTGATTGCCAAGCAAGCAGATTGAGGTATCCACATCTTTTTTACTGCGTTTTCTCTTTTTTTTTTTACTGGTATAGATCTCAAATAATCTACGTCAATGAACTGAAAAGTTTTTGAGAGTCTTATTGGTTTGGCTTGTAACACTGGCAGTGAAGGCAATTTAAACGATTATACACTTCGTCTCTTGCATTTGTAAAGGCCTTTTTGAGTGGTTTTTCAAGCGTTTGTTTCTCTTTTGATAATCAAGAAGTCTTTTTTAAATTATATAATAATAAAGTTACTTTTGCGCGACTTAAAAGTAGATAATAATTGAGTATTGACCAGCAAATTATATGGTGATTGAAGAGCAACTATTTTTGGGAAGCTCCATTTAGACTACTATGTAACTTTGCGTATGTTTTATGCAAACTCTCCACATCTTCTCATGAGTAGCGCTGCTCTGCTTTTGTTGGTGCCACTGTTCACTGTGTTATTCTTAAGACTATTTTCAGTACTTTTTGTTTTGAAACACTGTGTTCTAGTTGAGGTTGTTTTCTTCCTTTATTTTCAAAAACAGGCACTTTGCTAATAATCCATTCAAATTTTTGTAGACTACCATATTTTGTTGCATCTGTAACCTCTTCTAACTGTTCCTTGTGAATCGTTAGAGCTACCAACCGTTAGAGCTTGCCTTTGTAATAGTCTAATATCTTCTGCAATTTTTTATTTTGCTTTCTCAACATCCTCGTTATGCGAAACCTATGCACTGAAGAACAAACGGTGGTAAGATTTTCTGACCGTGGTTTTTTCTGCGTTAAAATGCTGCTCTTTTTTGAGAAAAAAATTAACAGAGATGCCACTGTCATTTAAGTTTTAATACTATTTCGCTAAAACCAGATGAATATATTTTTGCAAACAGCTTTCTTTCAAAAAAAAAAAAACAGCTATGAAAATGATTTTAATTTTACTAATGAACAGCGATTAACAATTAATGACAGTAAGATTTTGTGGCTTTAATTCCTAGCAGTGTCATTATCGCGATGAGATAGAGTCATCAAGTTTTCTTGGTCACTTCTAATTAAAATTTTTGCAGCTTTTACTCTTGCAGCTTTAACGTCTTACTTGAAACGGAGAAATCGGACAAAAGGCACGAAACCACAAAATAGAGAGTTTTCATAAAAGGTGACGGCGCTGAGGAAAGTGAAAGACCGCAGTGCCACTGCAGCGAAGACAAGGTAAACTAGAGATAAAAACTGATTTTTTAAATGTTTGAAATGTTCTTTAATTACGTTTATTTTCTGACAGTCTATTAAAGTACAGCAGTACTAAAACATATTTTTATTCCTTAATTTTAGGAGAAAAAAAAAGCCGAAACTTCAAAGCTGTTGCTGCTTAAGGAATCGAACAAGAACTTTTTTACGCGAGTAAAGTCATTTTCACTGTAACTTTTATTAGGCAACACATAACCCTTCATATGCTGAACAGCCTCTGCCACTTTCACACTTCCTGCAGGGAGCTCCTTTCTTGTAAATGCTTCGATTTAGATAATTGCCCCTGAATTACGATTTACTTTTGCTCTGGACTTTAGAGTTTGTTGTTGGTCTACTGGCCTGTTGTTACAAACGTAGACAAAACTTACATCTTGCGATAACGGCAAGCCACGTAAACCATGTTGTCAGGGCAAGTGTTTGAAAATCCACACCCAACTAAGGTTGATTCAGCCCAGATCATCTGAAAATTTCAATGTCATTCTCAGCAGTTGTCAGAACAATTTTACTGTTTGATGCGCAAAATAATTTTGGCTGGTTTCAACGTCAATGTACTTTCAGCGAACTTTGCTTTCGCTCAATATAAAGAAAACTTAATAAAAAAGCATGCCGCAGTGAAATGTCCAACACCAGAGTTGAATACATTCATTGTAAGAGCATTCTGTGGATCAGAGGCATCGTACTTAGAAATTTCACTATACCAGCTTGCGATAGCCCTTGGCAAGTGAGTTTCTGAAGAGACAGAATTACTGATCTTATTTGGGTTTATTTCTGGTGAAAGTTCAAGCAAATGATTCAAAAGACAAAAAATATTTTTGGGCTTGATCGAAATTTGTCACCTTGGGTGTTGGAACCACCCCAAGCAAAATATAAATTCTCAGATGCATTTCTTGAGTTAGGTGAATGCGCCTTCTGGCATTTATCTACCCAGGCTTGAGTTTCTCGCTCTAACTGGCAGTCATAAACCTATAATTCAAGAAATTTTTGAAGCGTTATAAGGCTGAAACAGTCGGTTTTTACGGTTGCGTAGTTTTTTGGCAAAAAGAACGTTCTACAGAGTATCAAAATATCAAGTTACCTTCTTAGTTATAATGAAACATGTTAGCAGTTTTCTTCTAAAGAAATGACTGCTTGAATGGCAAAAACTTACCAATTTGTTCATATTGCTAGCCTGTGGAGTTTTCTTTCCTCCTTTCATAGTAGCTATGCCTCTTGCTACCTCCGATCTGTATTTGTTATGCAAATCAACAATGGTCTTTCGTACCGCAGCGCTTAGCTTGCCGTTACAATTTTGTGCTTGGGCTGCAAGTGGAATAATTGCTAAGAATTAGTCACAGATTTTTCTTCTATCTTCACTTAGCTTTAAACTATTTTTAGCTCGGTTACTGCAGTAAATAAATCTTTCTGACTGTAGTCAGATCTCTTTTTTATCTGAAGGTAATTTGAAACTCACCATAAACTGCCAACAGAGCGAAAATTGCGACGAGTGCACAGTGCATCGTGCTAAATTATTCTCCTGAAAAAACTTTTTAGTAGCAGTTTTTGAAGAGGCTATGTAATCGCAGCGATACTCAAATGAAATCTTTGTACAGTGATTTAACTACTTTAATCCCTTAGTTTTTAAAGCATTTGAATAATAAAATGTTTTTTAAAAAAGAATTTCTTTTGATGAAGTAAGTTATACTAAATAAAGCAGTAATTATACTAAACATTAAAATACTCGAGTTTGTAAAGTCAAAACGGACTTCGAAATGAACGATTTAACACAAAATTACTTGCTCTTACAATCACTCTGACTATAAAAAGGTACAGCTGCTCTTGAAGCAACTTAAAAATTCTGTTGTAGTAATAAAGTTTGGAAGTCATTTTTGAGGAAGCACCTTGCGGTGGGAAAGAAGCGCTTTAAAAAGAAATATCATGAATTTGTCGAAAATGAATTTTTGTGGCCGCTTTTAAAGGCAAAAATTGTTTGCTCATTTTATTAATCGTTTTTTAGTTGAATAAACTGAGGAATTAGACATAAATGCACTATGCAAATAATAGAACACAGTTTTTTTACCAGGTTCAAATGCCTATTACTAAAAACCAGAAGGTATTTTTAAATTACTTTACATTTTTGTAATGTATATCTAAATCTCTGATGTGGACATGTGAGTTTTGTAGATAAAGGACAGCAGTACGAGAAAGGCACTAATATGAATTCAGTTTATAGATCAAAAATTTGATCGATCAACTGGCAGAAGTGAAATTTTATATTAAAAGTTTATTGTGACTACTTAAGTTAAAAAAAGCCAAGGCAATATTGAGAATGCAATTGTAA